CGGAAGAGCCTTTTTGTTTTAAATTTCGGATAAGTTCAGCCAAACAATTGGATAAAGTAGACCGTGGTACGTTCGTTTTTTCGGTAAATGCTGATTAAGTATACACGATAATGTGGACGTAACCCACTTTTACGTTTAATCCACGTTAACCGACGTTTCCACGTTAATCCTTGTCCACTTTCAGAAGTTATTGTACGCAGCCGGATTAACTGTTTATCTCTTCCTTTTCTGGATATCACAGCGCGTTTGATTTTATCTTTTCAAGGTGCCATATTCTTTAATTTCTTAAGAGCATAACTTGCGAGTTATTCTTCATGATTTTGGGGAAAACAAATATTTTGTAGCTTATTTACTTTTTAAGCACGAGACTTTCTTGATTCTGGCCTGTATTTTCTTTGCAAGGACTTTTTTTGAATATATTTCATAATTCTCAGGATTTCATTAGTTGTTTTTTTAATGGTAGAATTTAATTTTTTTTGCCCCTCCCCTCTCTTTTCTTTGAAAGATTGGGCAGATTTGAGGTCGTAGTAAGGTTTATAAGATCCAGTTGCAGCATTGAATGGAAATGTATGTGAATTAATGGACCGAAACATCTCGATTCAGTTTTTGTCTTTTATTATTTTTAAATTTTACTCTTACTTTTTGCTCTCTTACAACCATTTTCGTAACCACAAAATATAATTAAATTTAAATTACCTCATTTTTTAACCGTATTTTAACTCCCTCGCAGTTGCTGGCGACTCCTCTTCCTTCTTCCTGATTCTTCTATAGATGCAGAGGAAGGAGCACTTTTTGGAACAGCCGTTTTTGTTGTCCCGGAATTGTGATGAATTCGTAAACTTTGTTTTCTTAACATTTTGCAAAATTCCGTGAGATTTTCGTTGCATTGATTTAATTTTCATATATGGCCAATTTTGAGCTAGGACTTATATGACTTAATGGACCGAAACGTCTTGCCTCATTCCCTCTTCCTTCCCATATTCTTTTCTGTTCTTTATCTTATGCGCCTTCCTTACTTTGGCACCCAAAGTCAACCTTGACGCTACAATCGGCTTAGTGAGTGGTGCCTGCGCGCTGGCGGATCCAGGGGAGGGGGAGAAAGGAAGGCGTCTTGTCCCAGCAGCTTAGGTAGCAGCTATTTTAGTGCAGAAAATTCTGTTCGTAACGCCTTTCGCCATCGTAATTTAGGTCGACTAGCGGGGGAGGGAGAAAGAGGTAGCAGAGCGTGGAAAATGCTGACGACCAGGGTGGAAGGAGGAGGGGGAGAGGAGGAGAGGAGGGCGGTAGGGCGTCGATCGAGGGGTGGGTTCCGAGCTGCCCGAAGAGAAGGGGTGTAGTGGCGAGGGGAGAAGGGGAGGTGGAAAATCCCCCTCTCCTCCAGGAAACCGCCGGATCCGCTTGTGTACCTGCGAGAAAAAAAAAACGGCCATTCGGGGAGTCCTCAAAAAGGTGACCATGTGTAACAGTTGGAGGTATGCAGCCGAGGATCGAAAGGCCTGGCCTACCTGCATTTTAGGCGTAGGATCATCTCGGTAATATCAGTGCCAGAGGATACCGTTGCTGATAGTCCGGGTGGTCCAGGTATTCCTGGCCCGTAACCAGTCCTCAAATAATAAATAGGAAAGAAAGAGCCATGGAGATCCAGCCAAAAAGTAATTCATCCCAAGCAGAGCATAAAAAATCCGTTGAGTGTTCTGAAATTAAGGCCTTATTGGGTCCAAAAAAACTTTTGATGTTTGCGTTGCGAGAGACTTTCTAAGTACCTCTCTTGTTTCAGGCATTGCTCAGTAGGTTGCCAAATGAAGTTATTCCGCGATGATTGTGCATCGGCACAGTGCCGATCGGATGGCTTCACTTGTGTATTTGCGCAAATTATATCGGTGAAACCGCTGGAGATAAAAGATGAAACGGGCAGCCTAATTTTGAATGTACCAGAAGAAAGTGAAGTTTTCCTCAGAGACGCCCAGTGTGGTGAATACTGCTATGTGCTGTTGGATACAAGCAAAAGACCGATGCAGTGCATACGTCTTACCACTCAGCTACCCGAAGTGGCGCATCTTGCACAGTACCAATTACAGAAATTTCGTAATAGCACTCGCTAAACGTTTCGGCATTGACAACAACAATTATCACGATTTCGAGTTTGATTTTTGGTTTTCAAAATCTCATGAAATGGATTGTAAATAGTACTTTAGAAATAGGTTGGAATGTTCTCCCATATGTATGTTGAATAATTTTTCCATAATTGCCCCATTAGCGT